AGGGGCAGGGGGATGGAGGGCAGAGGGGGCTGAACGGGGAGGCGGAGGGGAGTGATGCCTCCCCTGCGTGGGAAAGGAGCGGGGTAAAAAATAGAATTAATTTTTTTTAATTACCAATCCCTGTTTGTGTTTTTTTTTTCTCATTTGCCAAAATCAAAAATAGCGGCAGAAGTCACTTCTCTCCCCGGCGCTGGTTCGTCACCCGGAACCCAGCATTAACCCAGTTTGCAAACTGGGACCCAACTGGGGAAACTGGGGTCAGCCCGTGGCGTGGCCACCGCGCATCCGGCTCCCGGTGAGACCCAGCTTCCCGCTGCCGCCGTTTCTATGGCAATGCTAAAAATAGCGCTGGGGCGGCGATGCCGCTCCTCTCCCCAAATCCGGGGGGCTCCCGAGAGAGGCGAACCCCCCCATCTCCATCGGGGACGCTGCGGGTGCTGGAGCCCTCGTTATCCCTACGGAAAAGGGTTCTGGGCGCGATGGAGCCGGGCAGAAATTCCCCTCCTCTCTCTTAAACCCTAAAATCCCTTTTTTTCCCCCCAAATAACCCCCCGATCCATCCCATTTTTGCCTGCGGGGCGCACGGGCCCCCCCGCAACCCTGCAACAGCCCACGCGAGGGGGGATTTCTACCACCTAAAAAGCCCCCGCGCTGGAAACAATACAAATTTACCAAAATCTCCCTTTTTTCTTCCTAAAACCCAAGTATTCCCCAGCTGAGCGGGGCGATGGGACCCCCGCCGGGGCGGGGGGCGCAGCAGGGACCTCCTCTGCCAGCCTTGACCCAAGTGACGGGCGCCAGTCGCAAGAATATCGTAGAAACAGTAAACTAATTTATTAATCCTTTTGCTATGTACAAGTTTAATGGAGAAATCTTTGTATGAAACAATTAAAAAGAACAAGATCTTGGAATTCTTTTTTTTTTTCCTTTTTTTTCTTTTCCGTGGGGGTATTATTATTAATATTTTCTTTTTTTTCTTTTTTTTTTTTACAAACAGCGAAGGGCAGCGCTGCGGGCGAAGTCGCTCCCGGGATACGCTTTTCAGGTAGCGAATTAGGCAGGAGAATGAACCGGCTCCGATGATCCTCCTGGGAGCGACGCTGGGGAAAAAAAACCGGCATCCCGGCGCGGGGACTGGGATGCGATGCATGCCGGGGAGGCGGGGGGACGCAACGAAAACGCGCGCGCGGTTTGTATTGCTGAGCAAAGAAGTCAACCCCGGAGGCTTTACCAAACGTCAAGGAAAATGCTTAAAAAAAAAAAAAAGGGGGGGGGGGGGTTAA